ATATAAGGTAACCTGTCCTATCCAAAACTAATGTAGTTAGTTTATGATGTTCTCCTTGGAAGTAATGTTTGGTTCCGACTGTAGATAGTAAATTTATGGCAGAGCAACCATTTAATCCATTCCTTTCACTTTTGCTCCTCTATTTTATTTTTGTCTTTGGAACGACAAAAAAAACACACACACCACCCTCCACACTCACTCTTAATACAGCCCCCTGTACACTGCTTCAAATGTACAGCATGACAGGCCTTAGTTACAGTTGCTAAGCTACAATTGGACCACCACAGTTTTGGGGAGGGGTTTAGCGAATGGTCATTCAAATGCCTGAGCAAAATGAAGCACAAAACACCAAATGACGTATTTGTTATTGGACAAAATAATAGAAACACGTCAGTATGAAAGTTCCCCAACACTACAAACTGCAGCCTCGAAAAGGATCTAAAGCTTCAACAAAACCTAAACATTATAACCTTCATGAAGGTAGAATTTATTGCAGGACTGTTTAATTAGATGCCATTACTTTGAGCTAAGTAAATTAAGCAACAGAGTGTAAATCATTTCATTGACACAAATGTACGTTGTGTCTACAGTGACCGAAAGTATTGTACTACTATGGCTCCTTCCTCCACACTCTTTGTTCTTGTTTCGTTGGACACGCAGACAGAAACCTTAGGAGAAAGTCCTAATGACATCATCAACCATAGCCTGCTACCTGCTGCAGTGCCATCCCACAGTCCGTTCAGCTGAGCCAGCACCTCTGCTCGGCTGATGTATAGCAGCTGTCGAGCGCTCCCCCTCTTTCATCCCCTACATTATAATTTCATTGCACCCGTGCAGCATACACATAGCCAACTGCGCACACGCACACACACACACACACACACACACACACACACACACACACACACACACACACAGTCGTAAGTCTGAGGGAAGAAGGCTGCTTAAGTTCTGTAAGAAACATCAATATGAACACTGTCCTGTTGTCCCATCACCTCTGTTTTTTAACCACTGTCATTAGGATTACTGCAGCGAAGTTGAATCCACAAGGGTGTATGACATCATCCATAAGGGGAAGTCATTAGATTGGATCAATACTCTATTCCCTAAGGATGAAGACAGGCCACAGTGGGACACAGTAGCAGGGCAGGTCGGGACTGAGTTAGTGCACAGAAGGCAAAGAGCAATGACACAGTATGATACCTTTATTATGTTATTATATTACAGCCCAGCCAGATGCTGCTACAACAAGACTAGCGGGGGAGATATTTATGCAATAATAGTCCAGGATCAGGTAACAAAGGGAGTATGGTACAGCTGCACAAAATCTACACGGCACTGGAAAATTTGTGGTACATTTGCTGCTGCCATATGGTGGTAATATTGTTAATATACTTTTAATCAGTTCAGCAGAAGAGCTATTCAAAAAGTAAAACTTGCCGTGCTGGAAGTTTAGTAACAGGGGCTATGACTGACATTACACCGGTTTTCTTAGTCACAGGAGTGCAGGAAAACCCACATCCTGAAAAACGCACGCACAAACTCCTGTAAAACGGAACAGGACACATATGAATACTGATTTTTTTTGTTGGCTGTGTCCATTCCCTGTCTCGTTGCAGAATGCAATCTATATTTTTTTAAGGATTAACCACCAAAGTGAGGACACAGGGGTAAGCAGCTGACAAAGAGATGCAGTGTGAGTCAGAGAACCGCGTCTGCAGGTGCCATTTTGAAACAGGTTGACATTCAAAATAGAAATTGGAATATATTAGGACTAAAGAAATGGTGGTTAGTTAACTATCACAAGTTCTGTGGCTAACTAAAATCATCACATCCTCCATCAACACTGAGTTCATGTACGGGAAATACAGTAAAAAAGGAAGTGTGTGTGTGTGTGTGTGTGGGTGTGAGAGAGAGACTTGATATAACACTGATATAAAAAACTGGTAATTAAGTTCATTTTTCAAGAATACACTAAAACCTCACTAGTTCAAGGTTCTTACATGAAATGAGTTTCTGTTGTTCTTCGTCTTCTAAGATAGTAAATTTTATATTTATGGGTTTTATGACTGTTGGTCAGATAAAACAAGACATTTGAATACATCAAGCTGGGCTCTGGGAAACATGATGGGCAGAATGCAAATTTTTTTAACACATAAAAATATGTAATTTTTCAGCTGTATGCCTTTTGAAACAAGCTGTTTGTGATGGGTAAGAAGAGCAGCTGTACAGTTGGAACAACCTAATTTGTTCAGACAAAGATGTGAGCTATAAAGCAGAACTAAAAGCCTTCTTCCTGAAACTCTTCTGTAAGTAAAAATGTTTCTGGCTGTTGTTAAGTTTAATTTGATTGAAAACACTATGGATTAGCACAATAGGCACTGTCAAACCCATCATCTGTTCCATATTTTAAAATACTGCTGCAGGCACATTTCACCATCACAACCAATTGTGTCAAACAATGACGGCAGTTAATTGGCACAAAGCTACTATCGGAGCCTTCAGATACTTTTGATTGCATTCATTTCAACCTCAAATTACTTTCCTCAGAGCCTATCTCTGAAGACGGCAAGTATGTGTTAATTTGCAAGTGCACAATGGCAGAGTCCATTAAGACTGCAGGCTCCTTCACTTGCAGTTTTAGAGGCTTAACAGACTTGGTCTCAGTCGCCCTCTTCCTCCTGTTTGGAACCATTATTATGGCTTTACTTTCTCATTTCTCCCTGTAGTCAGTCCCATCAGGACGACTCACGACTTCAGAGTCTGTTGACAGTTCAGGCAGCTGGAATAGATGAGATTTTTCATAACAGCAGAATGCTTGTTGATACCAGCAAAATCCCTCATCGTCAGAGGGTACAGAGTCAGCCGGTAATGAAGGAGGACCAGGACGGGGAAGGAAGCAGGGGGAGTGGAGCAGACTGTTTTAATTGTTTGATGTGATCATATCAAAAGCCTGAAAATAACAAGTTGGTGTGAGTGCAGTCAATGCTCTTGGAGTCAAACTCCAAAAAATAAACCTCAGTCTGCAATGAACAAAGACAATCCAATCCTGGGCATTTGATATCATTGCTGTAATTCAAATAATACCATAAAATACGCACTCAACATGAAAACTGACAAGTTGAAAGCAGCTCATGAATAAAAGGCTGACTTGTCTTTTTTGCTTTTAATTTTTTGTGCTACAGTAGATTAAAAGCATTCCCAATTACTGTTTTTTTTTTTCAAAGCCAAGATTTTTCTTTTGTTCAGCTCAACTACGAAACCAAGATCAGAGCACCAACTACTTGGTTACAAAGAGGCCACCGTCCGTCACTATTGCTCAAACACACTGTCAGAAGCTTAAACAGTGATTGTGTGGAAAAGAAGGAAACTATATGCAGTAATCCCATGTGAGGAGGCAGGATTAGTTACACAGCAGTACGACACAGAGCATAAGCATTGTGATATCTGCAAGTTTATGCATGCACTCTCCACAGATACCAACGGTACAATGAGGCGTCTTATCGCAACAAGCCCTCAGTATTCCACAACACTGGCAGAGACATAACTAAAGGCTACAGTGATGTAACTCGCACAGACAGAAGCAGCTGCTTCTTCATCTTGCCCCGACAATGGCTGAGCACCATAGTGAAGACTGCATCATGACAGGGATGGTTTCATAAGAAGGTGTTTTTGACTTAAAGCCAGGACTTGCTGCCTCGGAATGAGAAGGAGTGAAAGGTTTGCCCTCCTAGTAAATACCAAGAGGAAATGAGAACTGGACGCTTTCAAGTAGCCTACACAAGAGTGCTTTGCATCGTTAAAAAGATTTAAACAAACTGAAAATGCAATATAAATGAACTGCAGCAGGTATGTGGAAGGTATGAGGAAAGCTGATCCTACAACAATGAGACCACAGCGTAATGTGAGAGCCTGTCTAACAATTAACAAATAGGTATAAGCTTACTATTTATCAGGCACAGCAACATTTTACTGTTTCATACAAGTGCTGTGTTGTTGATGTTCAGTTGAAGCTAAGAATGGAGCCGCTGTTCATTTTGCTTTTTGGCTGCTGTAGCCTGTGGAAGCAGCGAAGCTATGTAGGCTACTCCGCCTGGATTCATTATGGTTCATAATAAGGCAAAATCCGGTCAGACAGTGCGCCTCAGACCTTAAGTCAAATTCAGTGGGAAATGTTCTGTGACACAAAACAAGCTGTATCTGTACTCCATCATGCAAATCCGACCATTTACATCCCAATCAAAATTTATCCAGTAGCTATGATAAACTCAGGGGTGACAGACCCGCTGCTTTATCGCACTGTGACCTTTCATTTATGAGAATGCAAAAGAAAACAACCAAGAGCAGCAACGATGGAAAGAAATGGTAAATTATCTGACACTGTCCTCCTGCTTGTTCGCGTCGGAATGCGATAGGCTAGGTTATATCTTTATGACCTGATGTCCCATCACCGCAGATTGACTGAGTGTCAAAAAAACTAACAGAGGTTTGCTCGGACGTGTAGCCTAGTCAACATGACGTCTCTTCTTCAGTGACAGACAAACACATGCTCAAAGGACAAACCCAAGCAATAAATTCACTAAAACAGCAGACATTTCAGCTGACAAAACGCGTTGCTGTTTTTTTTTTTTTTTTTGTTTGTTTTTTTTGCTGCAGAGCGCAGCAGTCATTTGCATTTAACTGAATTTCCATACCTTAATCACAACAGGCTACGGTGACCGTTGCCAGGGACCGACTGTCGGCTTCTACAGCGGAAAATTTAAAAAAAAAACAAACATACACACTATCACATCCCAGCACAGTCCAGACGCACGTCAGTCCGTCAGTCCGTCAGTCTGCCCAACAGACCGACCGTCCGCCGCCTCCCGTAGGATTCAATAGATTCAATAAAGAAAGAGGCGCCGCGGAAACACAGGAGCCTCGGTGTGGACGGACGCATAGCTGCACTGGACCAAATGTTGGTCCATATTCCTACTGACACAAAGAAATAAGACACTCACCGCTGTGTTTGGCACCGAATGACGACGTTCTGTTTATTTCATTGCCCCCGCTGAGCAGCTGTGTGTGGTGGTGCGTCACTGACTTCCGCGTTAAGATGGAGTGAAAAAAATACAAGGGGAAAAAAAAATCAATTTAAAGGACAGGCGGCGCACACGGGCGCACCGAGGGCTGTGCATTACTACAGGGAGAAGGTGATGATGACACTGACGATGATGATGATGATGATGATGATGATGTTGGTGGAAGTAGGGTGGAAAATTGAACCAAGGATAATGATGTTGGTAGGTGAAATGTAACATTTAATGCTGTACTGATCAGTGTTTTAAATAGTGGGCCTAAAGTTGCTGCTGGCAGTGACAAACCCACAGACGTATTGTCCAACTCCAAAGCGTTTTCACAGCTTTGAAATTGTTTTGGTTTCTGGACCACAACTTGAACTGTTGTTAAGTGTCACAATTAATATCAGCAACAGACACTTTTTATAAGCAAAGAAACCCCTGACAAACCCACTACAGTCTGCCTATCCCGCACAACCAGCACAACAGACAAACTTTAGCAACTAGCATAGTGGAGCAGCTAAAGAGCCAGACATTCTTCTCTTGAGTTGGTGGAGAGCAAAACAGAGCTAAAAGGAGAATTGTGTTTACCTTCATCAGGCGGGCAGTAAAAGCAACTCCAGATAAATGCTAATGCTAATTTTGCTACATGTACTGTATATTTGCAACCAGCTGCCTAATAAATAAATAAATACAATTATGCAGCTTTAAAGAAAACAGCTAGCCAGATTCTGACCAATGGTAACAAAATCTACCTGCCACCACCCCAAAAGCTCAGAAATTAGAAAGTTAGGTTTTGTTTGGTCAATGTTGTTACCATTGGAAAGAACCAGAGCTGCTTCTCCATGTTTCCAGTCTTTGTGCTAAGCTAAGCTAGGGGGCTGTTGAGCCATATTTAATGTACAGATATGAGAGCTGTATAAGTCTTCTCACTCTCAATTTCCCAGTATTTCAGCATCACCTATGGAAAGAATGGGACGGGTCTTGGAAGTATTTTGTAAATATTGTAATATTTTGTACTTTGAAATTATAGAACCATCTTACTCTAGTGGGGATGGGGATGGTTTTAGTCTAGCTTTCATAGTAGTAGAAGTTCTGTACAAGACAAGCTATGTGAAATTTGTCGGTGAACTTGTGGTAACAGCACACCCAAGTTGCTCAACAAGTATGGTAGTTGACTGTATGACTATCCTAGCTGGAGTGATTCACGGAAGTACAGTAACTCTACACATCCTTCACTCACAGTGCACTATGTTGGGAGAGGCTCACTTATTAAGCGAGGGAATGTATCCTCTGTTGACTTAAAGCCCCAGCTCTATCTCTGTGAAACCTGTTATTGTGTTTGGGCTTATTACTGATGCACAGTCCGCCACTCTGTCCTTGGGGTGGGACAACAGAGCCTCTGTGCTCTGTCTGGACAAAGTGGGCACCTCAGAAATTAGTCTGCCAAATTGTCATGCATGTGTTTCTGCGTCAGAGAGATAGAGGCTGTCTTGCTTCATAGCATGGAAAGATTACAACGTGGCTTGTAGTGTTAAGCGTGGAGAAAGGCAGGCAACTGTTGTGTTGATAATAAAAAACTGTCTTTTCACCACATTTATGGGGCTTTAGAAATCCATATCTTTTTACAAGAGGGGAACAGCAGCTAGAAAGAGGTGCTTACATGAAGTCATTCACACTGGCTTTCTCTGGTCTACCAACCAGGCCAGCAAACACCTTGAATTTCTTATGCACATGGTGTGTTTGTTATGGGATGACTGGATGATGTATGAACAGTTGGTAGACATGCAAAGTTCCATTAAGTTTGCGAGACAAGATTCATAAGAATGAGGAAGCAGAGAGAGATTTGTGTGTGTGTGTGTGTGTGTGTGTGCGTGCGTGGGGGGGGGGGCTGAAGGAGGTGAAGTGGTAAACGATCAGACGATGTTTTCAAAGAGTTCCAATTTTCTCAGTGTGTGTTGACTCCTTTCTCACCCTGCACACTGAACCTGTCAAGCTGGTTGTGCCTGATCATCTTGTGTTTTGATTCCTGCTGCACGATCCCATAGCACATACAGTATGACTCAGCAGTGCTGTTCTTATTTCATACACTCAAAGATATATATTCAGAGCAACATCCCACCAGAGTGATAATGAACTGTTTGTGTCCAGAAAGAGCACACACACCTTAATAATTAAATAATTACCATAAATATACTTAATGTTTGTCACATTTCTATGGGTTGGTTTCAACTTGTGACCACGGTTCCTCATTATCTCAGTGCATGCAAAGGTAAGAGTTAGAGTCTGGTAAGGATTGCAGATGCCAATTACAACACTACAGTATAAACCACAGTCTATATATGGAACAGAAAATGTAGCTGTACTTATGAATTTTAGGGGCAAATTCAGAACAGTTCAATTTCCAGGCATACTGCTCAGTTTAACTGATCCAGTGAATTACTATTAAATGGATTGTCAGCAACCTGAAATTTATGATATTTTAAAATGCTGCTTTCCTGCCCTGTGCACATTTTAGTATGAAATATGTCCACTGCTATCCTCACTGAGCTGGATTTCGCCATCCAAGAGCCAAGTTTAGAAAAAGAAAGGAGCAGCATTGTTTTTCAGTCTGTGCAAAATATAGACTTGCAGCTCTTGGCGTGAGCTGCAAGAGGCAAGCTGAATAATCCTGAAACAGAAAATAGGCATTTGGGTGGTGTGTTTATGTGATACAGTGCACAGGAGCAGGGAAGAATGTTCCACTGAAGAAACAACTGAAGGAAACCAAATCAAACACTCAGACAAAACCTGTTCATATCCCAAAAGGTACACTACGTTATGAAAATGAAAAGAATCCACTCTTGATACAGTACTCCATCAATGTAGTGCTGCACTTTCATAAAGTTGAGGGACTCACAAGACAGATTTAAAAAAAAGAAATGTCAAATTCGATGCATGACATTTAGCCCCTAATATTAGCCAGGCTCCAACACAATAGTTTCCTGCACTTCCCATAATGCCCCCTCCCAGACCTGTAATACCCATATCTTATAAAACTCCATGCCCCAGTTTTTAACATAGGCTCTGTTGAAAATTTGTGGACTCCAAGGCTAAGCTGAGATACCTGAGTGATGTCACTCCATTTGTTGGATTTGGTCCTTAGGTCCTTTAGAACTACAGAAGACTTTATGTAATTCTTTTCAGTAGGACAGTTGTACTCCTAGGAGTGGAGGTGTGCCAGTCTGAGACCAGAATTCAATTTAGGAAATTTGTGTCTTTGGTGTTTTTCTGCTTGGTGCTGCACATTAAGTCAAATAATCAGTATTTTGAGTCAGGCAGTCTTTACACCACTCACTCAGGCAGCAGTTTTAAATAAGTGTTCACCATCAGGAGTCACAGACATATGAGATAATAAACCTCTAACAGATAAAACAATATCTGAGAGCTGTTTTAAAAGTATAATGTGGGCAGAATAGTGGCACATTGCCCTATTTGAAAGACACAAGTGAATAACTTTAAGTAGAAAAGCAAGTGAGAATATCAGTATACACAATTAAAAAAACACTATGTGAACATTGTGCACATGCAAAAACATTTTGTCTCCACTTTAACTTGTTGAAAGAGTGAACAACAGTGCAATCAGCACTAACACAGTACAAGGGCAGCTGAGGCTGATAGAAATGTCATTGGTTTTGCAGGTATTTAATCATAAAACTAAGTATTGGACAAAGTGGACTGAAAAGCATTGGTGTGTGTGATGGCCAATGCAGGGTTTTGTTCATGGTGGTCACGGTCAGTCTGGCTCCACTATTTCCACTGACTAGAAAATTGAGTTTGACATGTTGTGTTAATATTTTATAACCAGATTTCATATCTTGCATTGTACAAACTGTCAAAAATCCTTTGTAAAAATAGTGACAGAAATTAAGTATAATAAAAAATGGTACTTCCTGCCGCTGCACTGAGGAGTTTGAAATAAAATCAGCATGATGTATTTTCTCAAATTTATCTTGAGTTGTCTGTATACACCATCCTTGTTTTTTTGTTAAAAAAAAAAAAAAAGAAAAAGATGCCCCTCTCCATGTTGAGGTGCATTTATCTGTCAAGAGAGACTAAAAAAGGTTTCAGCAGTATATACTGCACAGCCCAATTATCTTGGATCAAGCCAGTCAACATGAAGGAGGAGAGTGTGGATAAAAACATTGAGACGTGACTCAGGTCAGGGGTTTGTCTGTTGCACAGGAACAGCATCCAGAATGAAAGCAAAATGATTAATAAGCGGTGCCCCCACTTTTCATTTGAACCTCTCTACGCAGTGACTCACCAGCAAAGAAAGACAACATATTTGTGTTTTTGATTAGTGTCCTGAAATTCACTGATTGCCACATTTTCTGAACTCCACTCTCAAGGATTAGCTTGCATTTCACATGTACGCATATAAACAAATTACAGCTTTGAAGTGCTCCCCCTGATAAAATTATTATTGTGCAGACATTGCATTTGAAAATGCGAGCCAGTGGCAGAAGGCCCTGTGGGATCAGTCCATCTGTTCACAGTCCTATCAAAACCAGACCTGAAGGGTTTGACTGTGTGGGGAATCTGAATTTTGACCTTTGTTTAAAAAAAAACACCATCCCGACAATAAAATGTGATCATATTTTAAACAGAGCTTTTGTTTTCCATAAGTGATATCTAGTATTTACTGTTTATCATTTACACACAAACAATGCACTCCTAGAGCAAATTACCAGTTCACACATTTGCTCATGTTTCAGTCATGTTTTGTTTAATTAGGGTGTTAACTTGTTGTGGCACTTGTGACACACAACCAGCTGAGTAACAAATTAGCAGATAGTAGCCTAGTAAGAAGATCACAGGTTTTTCCTGAGTTGGCCCTGAACTAAATTTGTCGTAACTTTGACTAGAATTAGGAGAGTAGGTGGATGGGGGGCAGGCAGGGGGACTAATATTCAACAGGTTCAAAAAAATTCTGCTTGTTGCTAAGGAACTAGCCAAGAGTCTGAGTCAGGAGGACTGTATACTCAAATGTGATAAGAATGAGTCAGTGATACCAATATGAAACGGTGTCTCTTATACTTCACAGCAATGTGATGATAACTATTAATGGTGAGCGGCTTGGAAGGTCAAACACTGAATGTGATAATAATGAAAGATCGCAACTGCAAGACTTGAGGAGATTATAGTAAGGACCAACTGTGGTGAACTAAGTGTTTCCTTATGAACTCAAAAATAATCGGTTGGAAATATAATTTTAGACGAAGTGTGGGATCTAAACGCTTAGAAGAAACTTTATTAGATCAAACCCCTGTAGATACTTTAACAGCATTTAAAGTTTTTGCAACAGCTGAGCAATAAAAAAAGACTTACAAAAGATTTTTTATGGCAACCACCGTACTGTAGACACATCATAAATACCATAACCACGCCCCCCAATCCTAATACATTTACTTGATAGGCATATGAATTACAACTGACATTCACACCTACACACATTGCATACTTGCTATTTTAAAACCAACCTTGAATTTAAATAAGTAGTATTAATAAATATTAAGTATTTCATCAGTAAGTGGGTGTATTGTTCTCTTTTAAGAAAGATTTCTTTAGTTATGTTGGTATGTATGTGCCTGTGTAAGAAAGACGTTTAGCGGGGCAGAATATAAAAATCTTGATGACAACAACATAAACACTTCATAAGACAAACACAGAAATGTAAGTATCCTTCCCCCTCACAATAAGGAAAGTCAAATGTATAAATATGATAGTTCTAAAGTGCATCTGTCAAAGACTTGTCGAATGAAAAGTCATCAGTGGTCCTATTTTTTTTAAAAAAGGCTTACAAAACTAAAAACAGATATGTCTGAACGTGCAGCAGATATATTTATAACAAAAACTACCTACATACATGCACAGGTTTTTTTTTTGTTTTTGTTTTTTTTTTTTAAGCAATGGAAAAAGGTAACAGGGTAACAGATAAAAAGGATAAACTTTTTCACATTGTCAAGAGGTGATAATTAGTTCTGTGCCATTTCAGTCTACTCTTGTTTGTTCACACTTGGCCTTACAGATTATTTTATTTAAATTTTAAGCAAACTTGGCTGCTAAAAAAAAGCACACAGTGGTGAATAGGTGCCTTCTTTTTGCTAGAAACGACTCTGCAAAATCTCTTCGGTTCAGTCACTTTAACCTGTGGGTTCTTCAGGTCGCCCCTCATGACAGGTGGGGTCTATATCTTAGGCAGCTTGGGAGCACTGATAAGAGGGTTGGTCTCTTGCAGAAATCGCCGTCCGGCACTCTTGTAGTCGTAAGTGCAGTCATGTGTCTCTGCGTAGCGGTGGGTGGCACAGAAGTTGTGACCACACCTAAAAGATTTAAATGAACACATTTCAGTATATATGCAAAAAACTTCTATATATATATATATATATATATATTATTATATATATATTAAATACTTTATTCATAGTATATTCCTCTCGAGACCTTACAGTCAGCAAATAAAAACATTCAGTTTCTCCATCAGCAAACATCATCTGCTTAGTCATAAGGCCATTCTGCTGAATCCGAATGCAGTCACATTACTCCCTCTTTAGTTTAACTCCTCCATAGCAGTTTTCTTTGATTAAAATCCCCTCTCATGTGCTCTTATCTATTCACAGTAGTCCATTATTAAAATGATATAAACTAATAGAGATCTCTAATTTATTTCATCTGTGAGAAATAATATTGAGTTACTTATTTAATCACACAGGTTTACCATTTGACTATTAACCAGCATCATTTAGTCTTTTAAAGAGATCTACCCTTTATATGACTCATCCTCTGTAAGTGGCCGATGTTAAGAGATTAGAGTTACATACTGTTGCATCAGATTCAATGTGTACGCCCGGGAAAAGACCCAGGAGAGGGAAGAGATCCAGACTGATGTCGTTTGGAGAAACTTTGATAAAGCCAGTAGCAGTGAACAGAAATGTGTTTTCAATGGAGAGACAAAATGATGAATTGGGATAATACCACTTTGTACTAAAAGGGGTGGTTCAAGGACAAGAGAGAGTGTGTGTGAGTGAGTGAGTGAGTGAGTGAGTGAGTGAGTGAGTGAGTGAGTAAATGCTGGAGGCACTTGTACCTGCACTCGTAGCTGGTGGCCAGGCCAGTCTTCTTGCCACAGAGAAAGCAGTGCTTTGAGCCCTTCTTCTTGCTGCCTGTGGGAGCCTTGACTGGAGGTAGGTGGTAATTTGGAGTGCCTGAGAAGAGAGTGAACATGTTTTATTTACTTTACAGGAGCCAGTGTGGAATAACTGATCATGCAGTGAAAAGGTTTTGATCAGTGGAACAAATCTTCAAAGTCCAATCACATAGCTAGGCTCTCTTATTTAAATAACATGTCTGCACACAGCATAGATATTCCCATACAATATTGGGAATATTTCTCCTAATATCCAACTTTCTGATGAAGCCGTTTGCTTTCATTTGTGCTTGTATAACATTACACAGATTTCAAACTTGCTCAATCTACATCCATTACAGTAATCAGGAAGCCATAAAAGGTTAGATCAAGACAGAATCACACAAGTCAGTACTTTCAGTCTTTCAGAAGTTTTACTTCTGGCCAAAGCCCAGCAGTGATGTCAAAACACCAGCTGAGGTACTAAAAACTGAAGTGTGGCCAGAAATCCAATATGCTTTCAAGTTTCTCTGCACTTATCTGAAACTTGTTAGTCTTCTCCATTTTACTTTTTTGACTAAGTTTCTAATTTATTACCATTCCACTGAGCAAAAGGAGTGTTTTCATACCATTAATTATATCTGATTAATGTCTATTAGCTGATACCAATAGGAAAAAACTGCCTCAAAATAATCCCTCAAAAATACAGTATAAAAAATTGTCACATTCATGTCTTCTCATCTTGTGTTTCTTTGATACCCTTGACAGCTGGTTTATAATAAAGTGTGCATTTTAAAATAACTGCAGTCAATTAAACTAGATCTAAGCAGTAGTAAATTTGTAACTCTCTAGAAACGGTCCAAATAGTTGTCAGTCTTGAATGTTTCCAACTAAAAAGAGTTTTAGGAAATAGCTTTGCCATATGAACCAGTACCATTGTAATTTTAGGAAACATGTCAGAAAATATTCTTCAGTTCATTTCCTAAGTCAGGGAACACCGGTTTATGTCAGCTTGTACCTGTGATAATCGTGTCTGTGGAAGCATACAGCTCGGCTAGGTTTTTGAGCCGTGGGGATACGGAAACATACAGATAAAACTGACAGCTCTGTGATGAAGGTACAGGAAGCTTGCTGTCAAGCAGCTGGGCGTGGGATTGGATTTTTATTTGTTTCGTGCACTTTAATCTTCTACCGTACAGGTATACAGGGGATTCAGATATAGTCAGAACCATTCACATTTTCCATGTTCTGCTGTGTAGTAGCCTTAATTTGATTTTGACCACATTTAATTTAGGGCTGTCCCGGTCAAGTTTTCATAGCCCCTGATCCTTATCTCATTCATTAAATAAAGAGGATCTAATATGTACATTTCAGCAGCACTGTAAAAACATGATGCACTGAGAGAGACAAAGGCCCCTTCTTTTGTAACTTAAAGTATGTTGGCTTGTTACAGATGCTGTCAGTGTTGATATCTTCAAAACTGCTGACTGCTGTTTGTTTGTGTTGCTCTGCAGTTCCGTAACTAGTGAAAGAGGAAAAGGTTCTAGCGTTTGAATGGAACACGATGGGATGTTTGTGAAAGCTGGTGTACCTGGAACACAATGGGTTTCTATGAAAAATACATCTGAATTACAGAGCAATTAAAATATGGTTTATTTTACAAGTCTGTTCTTTCCTAATCATTTCCAAGGACATTTCCTAGGAACAATTGTAACATTGTAATTATGGAGAAAGCAGGTTTTCCTTGAAACAGCTCCATTTAAACCCAAGTAAATAATAATTTATCATTTTTAATTATTGGAAATTTTAAAACAGTCTCTGTTAGTACCAAATTACATAGGTATTGCCAGGAAACCTTTGGAAAATTATTATGAAATTGGAGACTTGTAAAATTAAGTATTAAAATGTATCATAACATTTACTGGTTGCTTTAGTTACAGATTTTGCAGAGCAGTCTGGGACATTGCTAATTTACCAAATGATGACAAGGTAAGAACTCATTTTCAAACTGAACTCTTAGCCCTGAAATGCCCAACAGCATTGTATCCACTGCCTACAACTGGCCAACATGCCCCCATAGTACACCATTCTGGGAGAGCAACATGCTATGAGGATGTTTCTTAACAGACTGAAGCAGATGATGTCCTGATTGAAGGAATCATCAATGATGTCAAATATAGACAGACCCTTGAAAAAAAAAAAAAAAGTATACAGTCAGGACTAACAGCTAACAATCAACTGAAAAAAACACCAGTCATTAGTTGGGTTGTTCAGTGTTGTCTGAAGTCGAGTTAGACCATCACCAATAAACTCTCCGCCTGTGGGAAATAATGATGCTGATAAACGGTAATCAAGGAAAATGGAGTCTTGACTCACTACTTTGTGAATTAATCCGAGTGTAGTTATCCATATTCTCTGTGAACAGTCTAAGCATATCAGTGGCTGACATAAATAAATAGATGAGTGTGCTGGTGTGTAGGCCCGCCGCCTTCTGTTGTTTGTACTGCTTCTGCAGTTGTAGAAATAATGAATATGTAAAACCCCTGTGGTGCCTTGTTGTAGCCCTCAAAATGTACTGAAGGTTTCCACATAACGGCATCTCTGTATGTGACTGCATCTTTCAAGAGCTACGTATAGTAGTCCAGAACTGTTTGGCTACAATGTGTGCACTCTGGCACAGGTAATAGCACTTCAAAATTACAGTGCTGTAAAGTCCACAACTCAAATGTCCAATCCAACCACCGCAATGCAACACTTTCTTGACATACAAGTATTTAACATTGAGGTGTTTGTGCGTCTCCCTTACCTATTCTCCCAAATGAGGTCATGACTCCTCCAGCTGACGCAAGAGTGTTGGTGGCCTGAAAAACAGCAACATGAAATGGTTTTAGAGTAAATCGATAAAACGGCCTGCAGTGATTAACTCCTGGGAAAATTAGATTTTTCTCTAAAATATGTTGTGCTGTAAAACACCTTATAGCACTTAAACTGTCCAAGGAAGAAAATGTATGTATAGTGTTTTCACATGGAATGAATTCCATGGAAAAAAAGAGGCCAGAGCTTATCTTTTTTATATACACATATATATATATATATATATATATATAAGATAAGCTCTATATATATATATATATATACTCAAATTACACAGGGATTACTGTTGATGCAGCAGGACAAACTGCAGGACAAACTGCTGAGCTCAATACAAGATGGAATTAAATATTATTTTGATAGACTTGATAGACTAGACTCTGATTTCTGATATTTTTGCTGTTTCCTATCAATTACTTATCAACTACTATTTTCATTTCTTCTTGTGTATCTAACTAATTTACAAGGCAATGAATTTCACTTATGTGTGATGTGTATGCTCCAAATATGATTCAATTTCATATATTAAAAAGAAAAATCACTAGGAATAATTTCTTTGTGTTTTAACTGAACCGTAAATACAGTATGCATTCCACCTACTGCATTTGCCAAAATGTTTTAATGGAGAAGCAACTTGTGGGTATTTTCTCTTTTTTTTATATTATTATATATATATCACTAATATATTATATTGTGTACTTCGCTCTATCTCATCTTGTGACTCATGCAGCCTGACTTAAAAATTCTCATCTCTAAATAACTACTCAATTTGATCTTAGTGAAATTTGTCACAGCCAGACATCTTAAATGCTTGATAATACAATATATGCAGTTTCTGAATATCTATTATTCTGGTCTACTAAAATACCAACGCAATTACAGTTGCGTTGTGATGAAAAAGACTGGATCTAGGCTGGATCTTACCATATGATTTTGAACAATTGAACAGTGAATATCATACAAAGATAATTTTGTGACAATTATAGCAAAAAGAGCTTCGCATTACCTCCCTCTACTTTATTTTTAAACACCTGCTACCGTTGTGGGTCGGGATGAGCACAGACTTTAGTTCTAGCAGACATTATTACTAAAGTTTAAGTGAGAGCCAATTACATAATATATTGTTTGAAGACTCACATAAATACTTCAAAGCATGTCAAATTCTTTGAAGCTTAAACCAAAACTGAACATTAAAAACAAAACTTTCACACATCTAATCTGAACAGCAAACACTGTCACCATGTAAGAGGCTGCTGCTCGGTGCAACGGTGACATTTGTCTTATGAGATCATCCTGAAGAAGCCTGTTAGTTGGGATGGATGGCAGCCTGGAGCCATGGCTGCCCTGTCCTGAGGCAGTGGCAGGAGGCCATGCCAGTGCAAGTCCAAGACTCTCTCCAAGGCTGTCCCTGGTGCTGCTGCTGTCTGGAGCTCTTGTGGAGAGAGAAGCCAATAGGTCAGACTTGTTCAGAGGCCCAAGTGGCTCCTTACAGGTTTGGTTGGCCAACTTAGTGATGCCTCTTGCTTCCCTCTTTGAGATAAGCTCTGGCCTCTTGCCAGGTGACTCCACTTTAACACCTCGAAGGCGTGGCAGAGGAATTGATGAGGAGGTGGAGGGGTGAGAGGATGTGTTGCCTGGCTTTACTTGTGCAGAGGATTGTGCTTGAAGGTTGGGCTGTAAACAGCAGAGAGTGGAATCAAAAGGCTGAGGCAGCGGTCTGGTAGAAGTGGATGGTGACGTGGAGGCAGGTAATGGGGAGCAAGGGCTGATATGAAAAGATGTGCCAAGCTGTGTCCTGTCAGCTTTGCTGGTGAGAGTATCACTTGTCCCAAGTGTCCAGGTACTAAGTGGGGAAGGGGAGAGGGGCAACTGGTGCTGAGCCCCAACCTCAAGGGACCGACAACCTCCCTCTGACTGGGTGGACACATCCAGACTCAGAGGGTCTGACAAATCCCCAAACGGAGCTCCAGGTTGTGTCGGTGCCACCAGCCCAGTAGCCTCCTCTAACAAACCCAGCCCAACTGCATCCCCTGCAGGCTCAGCTGGGTCAAAGGTAGCTTCAGGTGGCCCCCTGGTACACAGTGGAGGGAGCTGAGGGTACACACAGTCCCTCATCAACCTAGTGGTGCCTATGTCCAACCGGGAAACTTTGGGAGGGGGCCGTATTTTTGCAAATGGTGGGCATGTCTCCCATTGCTCCTCCTCCTGAAGCATATAACAAGAAGGTGAGGAGAAAGAGGGAGGTGGTCGTCTAGGGATGGACAAGTTAGCAGAGGTTGCAGCAGCAGAGGGCGGGGAGGGGTCTGTGGTTTCATGGTCGGCGATAGGAGGTAGTTGTGCATTTGACTGCCGAGGCTGGGTGATCTGAGGGAAAGAACGAAAGAGGCGATGATGGTGTCGTGTGCTGGAAGGTCCTTGTGAGCCAACGCAGGGATGTGGGTTGACAGGTGGCCGTGGTTTTACCTTTGCTGCCTTCTTCGGCTGGAGATCAGAGACACAGATACATTCAGATTATACCAGTGCCCTCTCAAATGTACAATACATTTTCTACATTTTTTCCCCATCCTGTAAAATGATAAAATCAAAGTTGTTATCTCATTGCTTGATTTAATCTGCTTGTATAAATAAATGATGAGCATAAAAACATTATAGAGCAAGTACAGTTTAAAGTAATGAAACGCTCTATCTTCTTACAAACACATGCAAATTAGTGTTTGGTGCAGTACATCTGCATTATGCAAAATGGTTGCAGCCTACCATTTTAGTCTATGATTATGACATGCAGGATTCTATGTGTCTACATTTTAAAAACGGTGTGAAAATTAATACTGTGTCCAGGCCACATTTGCACTCTGATAGGTAGTAAAACTTTAATTCTGTCATTCTGTAATCCTACTAGGCTCCTACTTTCTTGTTGAGGTTCATGTCCTCCATCTTGGCTTTGAGCAGCTTCATTTTGGTCATGGTGATGGAGTTCTCAAGGCTCTGCTGTGCAGCTGCAGAACTCTCTCCATCCTCCTCCTCCTCTGCGTACACATTGTACACTGAGCCACCACTGGAAAATATGAGAGGCACAAACACTCTTCCTATTAATGATCTAAGAAAGCAGTCTGCAAAAACTCAGCTGCAGCGGTTCACAACAATCACCAAATTATCAATGTTAATTATTGAACTCTACACTGGCTGCATAATTATATAATTCTACTCATTTATTCTGTTGGTTCCTCATTAGTGCCTCCTTTTGCCTCGCACCATTCTTAAAACACAGAACCTACTGCAGTAGATTGTTTAAATTTCTGATGTTTCTGTTACAGTATGAGTAATGATGACCAATGTGAGAAATCCCTGCCCCAATGCCATTTATGGGCATAGTTACTCTTGTGGACAAGTGGTTACAGCGCATGCCACATAACTGCTACATCCAAGGTTTGAATCCAGCTATGGACTTTTATTGCATGTCACACCCCTCCTCTCTCTCCCCGTTTCCTGCCCACTTTTTCACTAATAAGGCAAACAAGTGCCAAAAAATAATCTTAAAATAAATAACTAAATAAAAAAAGAAATAAAAACATAAAAGTTATGTCAATATCCTGACCTCAGAGATTCAGATAGAGGAGTCAGGGTGCCATCTCCCCTGTCGACCACTCGGAATAGGTTTAGCTGGTCACCCTCACGATAGACCACAAATGTGACCTGCTTGTTGGGCACGCCTTTCTCCCAACCCTCCTCCTTTGTGCTCTCCATCAGGTCAGCCACCTCTTTGATAGGATCCTCCATGGTTACTGACAAAAGGTCAAAACCGGAAAACAGCATATTTTAATACTCTCATTGATTAGGTAATTTACTCAGATAAATATATTTTGATATAATTTGAAACCAGAAATGTCCAGCTATCATGTGACTGTACAGTTCTTTCGTCTTTTTGTTACCTCTCCTGGTGTTAATTGGCCCTCCCCTCATAGCTAAGACCAGTTTCAAAGTGCAGCCCTCTGCAATGCTGCAAACAGAAACAGAATGATGATCAATATAGAAGAATAAGTGAACAGTATTGTAACCCATTCCCCAGTGTATGTAACTCTAATGGGAGAGAAGCAAAATAAACAGTAAGCAACATTTACATTAAGGGTAAAATGCTTTACTTCTGAGAGAGGCTCTGATCTAAAGTTAAGAGCACTCTGAGGGTCAGGATGATTTCCAGATGAACACGCCTGGGAATATCACTGGAACATTTGTTTCATATGAGCAGATGTTTCATCGCCTACTCTACCCTTCTGCTTCTAAAACTTCAAAAGCGTGCTGCAGTGTGATAGGCAAGCCTAGCAAGATCGCACCAGAGGCTGCTCATGTGGAAAATTAAGTGACAAGCATTCATAACAATCACCATCAACAACCACCATCTGCAGCCAGCAGAGCAATGGAGGGTGAGGTCTGCATCTCATAAACTGACAAGAGTGAAGGGACAAGCTCTCTAAATATGACCAGAATGTCACTTGTCTCATCTAGCTCTGAATCTCTGGCTCATCTATAACTTGCTGAATTAAATGAAGACTGAGTCACCGCCACAGCAGGAAGGCTTTCAAAGCGCACATGCAAATGATTCTAAATGTATACAGCATGTTTTAAACATTACCAGCAATTTCTCTAATAAGCTTTGTTTGTGTGAGTGTCAGTGCTCTGAAGGACAGAAAGGGAGTAGATTTACCCATAGTCATGTAGACAATGTTCATCGTCCAGCTCCAGATTGTTCCAGATAAGATGTTGCTGGGCAACAGGTATACCTTTACAGACAGTAAGAGGGAGAGAGTATGAGAGAGAACAACCAAAGTTTACAAGACCTGTTCATATTTCAGAGACTACCTTCACTAATCTGACAGACAGGTGAGAATGGAATGCCACCAAGAGAAGCAGCCACACACCGCTAAAGATGATTCATGTCTGCCCCCTAAAGACAGAATTATGTAACTGCTGAAAAACAGCAAATCACAGAAAAGGTGTGTTGTCAATTAAAATGGTGCAAATTTTACAAATCTGTTGATGAAGTACAGTTACCACACCATAAAGTCAGCTAAACTGGCAAATGAATGAGGTTGGTTGGACTACTCTATATGTACATTGTATCTAATGTCATTGAAAATGAGACAAAACAATAAAATCTCAGAAGGATGACAGCCTAATGAATACAAAGACTCTCTAGAGCTACTCCTTGGAATTAGATGGAGAGTATGCATAGTCAGGAAGCTCTCTGTGCCCACAGTGAGTGAACTTGCTGACCCAGTGCTGGAGGTGAGCCAGTGTTGGTCAGTGAGCAGTGGTCCCTTCATTGCAGAGTGGTATGCTCCATCACAAACACACAGACTTGGCTGACACACCTCCGCACACAGAGCACAGAAAGGCCTTTCTGACCAAAACTGAAAACAGCTGCAAAGAATGTAGATATGGAAGGCCATACTGACCTACAACAAAGCAACCTTAGAAGACTGCCAAAGTCAAAATAAAAAAAAAAATTGTTTGGATAAGTAAGAACCAACACATTCATTCAAATTGATTCCAATACAACACACATACCCCTCTCCTACACTACACTGTGCTGTGCTGTGTTCCTTCGTGCCTCCAGTGTCTCATGTGGGAGACAAGCCAACAGGTGAGTCCACAGATTCGTTGTGGTAATTATATTCTAAGGCAGCAGCATTTTACATAGTGAGCAAATAGCCTGACCTTGTTCCACAGTTTTGCATGGTGAATCCAAAGTGCATCCACATATTACTTCTAAGACAGATTGGCGTTTTGATTCAGCATGGCTCATCAACAATACCAATATATGCAATGGATCAGAGTGACAAAATTTTTTACAAACACCTACTGCTGGAGCACAAGGCATGGCCTGTAATGCTTAAACACTGAATTTTCTAATTCTACCCATTCTTTTGTTTTTCCCCTTACATTAAACTTGGTAAGCAGTTCTGATCCAATTTAACAGCATAAACATAAAAACACTTTGAGAGCAGTTTTGTACAAAGCAGCCCGCCTCAGGAGACAGAATAGATGAAGCAAAATGCTCAAACAAATAGTATGACAGGATGTGACACAATCAGTGCAATACCCCTGGCTTATAAAACATGGGCACTGTTTCTTAAAAACATGCAAGCAACAGCATACAAAAACATGCAAACTTCACATTAGTGAGATTTATACCTTCCAGCCTCTGGATCTTTGCCTTGACTGAAATGACAGCCTCAAAGGGCAACACGCGCAGCTCAAAACAGGTCCCTGTCAGGGTCTCTATGAAGAGCTCCATAGTGTCATAGAAAGGGATCTTATAATGAAAAGCTCCCACACTGTCGTCATTAAAGAAGGGTGGCTCCTTCCTGTCTGTCATCTTGGCAGGTTGGGAGAGAAGCTTCAGGGAGATCGTGAAATGGGAGGGGTGGCCCAAGATGAGGGAGAAAGGGACAGGCACTGCTCACTGGCCTTGCGACCGTCACACATCCTGCAGGATGACCACTGCTGCAAGTAGAATCAAAAGCACTGAATGATTATCATAACTTTTCAGAAGGTTTTATTAGTTGAAATAAGTCTAACCTTTAGCCCCTGCAATCAGGGGTCTTAAATATATTATATGCATTTCCGAAAGGTCAAGACTTTGATAGTCTACCCTCTGAAATTTGACATTTACAAGTCAGCTCAGCAGTCGCATAGCATTAAAATGATAACCTCTAATAGCCAAGTCATTTTTGTTTACACATAAATACACCATTTTGACATTTGAATTGTATGTATTTTTTGCAGACACAGACTTTTTGAGTGGAGGGAAATCTAATGAGTTGGGCCACAGAACTGTGGGGGATAGACACATAATGACTGACATAACAATTACGTTATGTACCTGATGAGGTAGTTCTGTAAATCACACAAGTTACAATATGCTCATGAATGCATGAATACAATACAAAAACTGAAACTGTGAAACTGTCTCGTAGCATGTTTTAAATTTTCCTTGTTTTAGAACAAGAGCACGTATCTGTGGCCGCAGAAACATGCAACCATCTTATGAAACATTCAGTGCAGCATTTAGGGCCCTGGCCAAAATTCAAGAAGATCAGGTGTGTTACATAAGCCAATCAGTGGTATGAGGTGTCCTGTGCCTGACCGCAGCCTTTGACAGATCACCTCCTGTGTCACTTGACTCACCAACATTTTATAAGATTATAATCTGTATGAGAGCCAGGTCTGAAGAAGGAAGGGGAGTTGGATTCAACATCTGAAACGTTAGGCCATATAACCCTGCGTACATGGCTCTCTATCACTTAAATGCAGAGACAACAGAAATATATAGGTTACAGTTTTCCTGCTGGGGACCATTATACAGTTTCTGGTTGGGACTGATGAGATTTATATATGGCTACAACATATTATCTTGTCCCTATGTGTTTTGGAGTACAGTTGTCCACAAGCTGCTGTCCAGGGCACTTAAATCAAATTGAGCCTTTAAACGGAGATTTTATACTACAGGAGCTCTAGTAACTCACTCAAACGCACAAATGTGGTATATAACACTGAATACGAACTGTCCTGCTGATTGTTGGCTCTTTAATGTTAGGGTTAGGGTTGTCACAGCAGGCCATTCTCTAAAGAAATGGTTAGGTTGTCAAGTTACAGGCGACGACGCTATGTTCAAATTCCTTCTACATATATTTAACCTTATATAAAACTGGGTGACCACACCACCACAACAGACACCACGGGCCAGGTCGGAAAAAGAGATGAACTGGGTCAGCTAGCTGCCTGACAACGGGGATGAATGGAGTTGGCAATCGTCACAATACAATTCCAGCGGCTAACGTTAGCAGAAAAAGGTCGCACAAACAGTATTTCTAACGCCCAGTTTTGAAAAGGCATTCAATCCTTACTAATACTGTATTTTTAAAACCCCGCTTACCGGTATCTTCTGCAAAAAATACAGTAGAGAAGCCCGTCTAGCCAACGCTGCTAACATTAGCTTTCGTTGCCATGTTAGCCAACAACTCAAACAATGGCTACCTTTCTCGGTGGTTGGCTAGCAGGCTGCTAGGCTACATCCACAGGCTTCAGTCCGGTCCCATCCGGTGTAACTGTCGAGGGAAACGTTACGTGCAAAACTAAACTCATCACGTTTCCAGTTAAAAATTACACACGGAAAAAAGTAGACTGTCTACCGCTGACGGTCGCCGTTGTCCCATTGTTGGCGACACCATCATACCTGTCAAAGACGACTGAACAACACCTTTGTGATGCCATTTGATTGACAGACAAAGGAACCAATTGGCGTCACGGATGGTGGGTTGGGAGGGACAATAAACTGTCAGAACTACGAGTTAAAGGTAATCACCTTCAGGTCCTGCTGAGTTGGGATACAAAGTGTCATATTTCCCGCACATCAGTAGATATCAGGCTTAAAAATCCATCAAATAATTGGTTATATCATTGGTACAAATGTTTATCCCTCACTAGTTTATATAAAAATTTGGACTGTCAGCAATTCACTTTAGAGCTGCTTCTCCATCTTTTGAAGAAGTAAATTGTGAATGTAAACACTTACAATAACACTAATATCCACCCCTTATAATAGAACTGAACAGTTTCTAATATATTCACATTAAGTCTAAACTTTCCCATGCAAATGTTAATAAAAATTGTATCTCTGTCCAAAATGTCTATTTTCAAATGTGTGCCAATTAGTAGCACCATAAGGTCCCAATCCTTCATGTGAGACAAAAAGACTTTTAATACCATGTTCAAGAAATTCACCCTATGATCTACAAACTAAGCTTTCAGTGTTTAGAGCTTTTATTTACTACCTAATGTGAAAAAGGTTACAGAATTTCTGCTTGGTGGGTTTTTGTAAATGCTGAAAGGAGAGCAGCTATAATACCTTTTTCTACTTCAATAATACTAACCTCTGTAAAAGCACTAATCCATCCAGCCAAAAATGAAACAAAAATGTTGTTAGTAAACACAGCTCTAAAGCTCTTTTTCTTTGGAGTGAGCTTCCTGCTCATATCTAACACTGATAAATATTTCAGACACAGTGCACATGAAAAAAAGTTAAATCAGAAATAATCACACACATTTCAAATAGCATAAAATATGTTTCTTTTTAGTTATTAAAAATGAATTTCCTTTTTCATCACAGCCAAAGTTAAGAAATGGATGAATTTCTTATTAATAAAAACATTGTCAAAATGCCTAAGACACTAAGTAAACATGATGATTTCTCATAACTGTGATATGGCACAAACCCAAAGACATGGAATCTCAACATGGCAAGGCCAAAGGATAAACATCTTGAAAACAAACAAAACAATTTACCGTTAATTTCTGCAGGCTTTGAGGCTAAGCATAAGATATGCTTATAAAGTGCTATCATGTATAATAAAGATTAACAGTATATAATAACTGTTACATAATATGATCTGATGCTGAGATGATTTTGGAAATGCTGTCAGAAGATGACTGGAACTATTTTCATTTAAGTCTTTATCTGCCAAAAATAAGCCACAGTATTTATATGAATTTATATGAATAAATACTCTATCAACAGTGTATTGATCTCCAATCTTTCAGCGATCCAAATGACAAAAGAATTAATCCACATTCCACAAGTGTACAAATCTGGCTACTCAGAAACAACAGTTCAGTTCCCACCAAGAGCATTAAGTGGATCATCAAATATGTTGCTTGAATCCGCTGCTGTACTGGCCTCCTGGGGTGGTGGTGTCTTCTTTGATTTATGGGGAGTCTTTGCCACTGGTTTTACTGTGCTTGGTGAGAAGATGTCATCTTTAAAGAACAGAAAGATGGTCATATTTGGTCAGTTTTAAAAAAAAAAAAAAGGTAGGCCAGAGGAAAGACAGTAGCAAAAGTGTGCATTAAAAACACATGGATGGCTGCATGCATTATTGTTGCTTACCCATGTCATCATCAAATATTGACTTGGTCTCTCCCTTTGTCTTGGACTTCTGTTTTGGTTTTAAAGTGTCCGTCAGGTCAGCAAAAATGTCTATGTTGTCATCAAACAAGCTGGCATCAATGCTCTTCTCTTTGTGCTTCTTTTGAACTTTAGGCACAGTGGCTACTTCATCCTGAGAACACAGACATTTAGCCAATAAGAAAAATTGAACATATTTTCTTGGTGGCACAGACAAACCTTGACCATATTACCATCAATCTAAAACAAAGGTACCTGGAACATGTCCTGCTTTGAAAAACTACTGCTGTTCTTGATTTCTTTACTACTTGTGGATGAGGGCGTGGAACTGTTGCTCACTCCAAAGATGTCCTCATCATCATCATCATCTTCCAAAAAAGACGAGGCCATGGCTTTCTTCATAGTTGACCTTGGTTTGACCTTTTGGAAAAGGTCATCAGTTTTGTCATCAAAAATGGATGGGAATGTGCTTTTGTCTTTGTCTTTCTTCAATCCCACCCCACTACTGGCCTGAGGTTGTGTAGTCTTGGTATTTTGTCTGGTAGAGGGTGTGTTAGTTACTGAAGGGCCTTCAAACAGACTGTCTGAGCCAAAAAGGTCATCCTCATCAGAAGAAGGCAGCACCTTGGTACTGAGGCTGTCCTTACAAGATTCTTTCTTTCCAGCATTTGTAGATACTGGTAATGTCAGTACAGAGGGTCTGGGGGAGATTTCAGAGAGTGAAGGTTGAGAGGGTGAGGAGGCAGGCAAGGCTGTGGGAACAGCTGAGTTAGGTAGTGTCAGACTGGCAGGCATCTGGTTGGATTTATCTGGTAGGGGTAGGATCAAACCAGAGAGACCGGGGTTTGGCCCAGGAATGTCTTCACCAAGGGTTGCATCTCTATCCTCCACAGATCTTTGGACAGCTTGCTGCCTTGCAGCTCTGGACTGGGGTCTCCGATGTGCAGAACCTTTGGCACGACCCTGCATGACAGAAAATTTGCACTCACAACAATACATCAGAAAACCACGCAATGAAAAACCAACTAAGAATTCAAGATACCAGATATTACACTCTATGAATCAAAAACCCACCTTGTGTGCGCTCTGCAGGGTTGTAGCCTGAACTGGGGTGTCAAAGCTCACTCCTCCCTCACTGTCTGTCTGGGCTCCTACAGGAGTTGTGGCTGGGCTGGGGCTCAGGCTGGAGCTAGACACCCCAGAGGAGGAACTAGGACCTATGCCAGGGAGAACACTTACGGCCCCTGGCATACTGGGGGCAGCACCAGGCAGCAACGTAGCTGGATTGATCATCAGATTGACCTGAGAGTAAAATAAACAGATGCACAAGTACAAACATTTATGAAGGTGAAAAATATACCATGGATCCTGAGCACTGACCATAGAGCGTTAAAACAGACTTTTTAATTAAAATATCCTACATTTGTACATTTCTATGCCTCAAAACTATGCTTTTCAGTGTGGTTCCAAGCAGCAGATCATTCAGAGGAAAATGAAAAACCAGAACTGTGGATGGAAATGGCAGGAGAAAGATGCATGAGTACCATTTAGTGAAACTGAAAGAAAGAGCAAGCAAATTCTTCAAGTTAAGCAAAATCAAAACAGAGAATTATCTTCATTTTGATAGTCATGCCGCTGTGTCATAGACAAGTTTTTAAGTTGGAATATGAAAAAGCCCAGACAGAAGAAACCTTCAAAGATAAAACATGTATGTGGGAATAGGAAAGTCTTTTATCAGTAGGAATCAGAATGAAATGTCAAGAATGAAGACTTTTGATTCAATAAAAACAAAAAAAAATTACTTGAAGTTTCCCAATCCTTGATGAGGACTCTTTAGGTTTTACAGGGCTTGGTGCAGGTTTCTGTGTGGTCAGATTACAGCAGGATCAGAATTTCATCCAATATAGGCATTTCTTGAGTTCATCTACAAACAGTACCATCTTTGAATAGGCAGTAAATTATGATGTAGATGTGTCATCAGAAAGCATAAAAAAGCTTATACAAAGCAAAAATTATTCCTAAATCAAAACCACATGGCATGGCCTCAAAAAACAATGTAGTTCATTATATAACTGAAGACAGTATATGCTTCCGCTAGACTCACCTGAATCTCTGACACAGACTCTGGATGTGCAAGCAGTGCTCTGTCAGTGGGTTTACTGGGCTTCTCTGCTACTTTCTGTAATAGAACATGTAAGAGAAAAAACAAGAGAGAGCTTAAGTTTCTCCAGCGGATCTAAAATATCTATTTACACGACTGAAACTTTTTCCAATGTAATAAACAAAGCTGGGAAACAGGTGTCTGCCTTATTCTTAACACTAAAATAATCAAATTGCTACCGGAGGAGGAGCTTTTGGTTTGGTGGAGCTGAAGAGGTCATCCTCATCGTCATCTGCAAACAGACTTTGTGCTGCTGGCTTCACTGAACTGAGCTTGGAGCTCTAAAAAGTAAACACAGTCATGTATTACTGGCATCTAGTGATGATGCATATAGCATGTAGTTAAGTAAAACATGGCACTTGTAGAGAGAAGAAAGAGATATACAAATAGATAAGACTATCTAATATACTGACTGCAGCTTTCCCTGAGGTGGCAAAGAGGTCAACATCTGGGTCATTGTCCTTCTGCTGCGTCTGACTGAACAGCAGCTCCTCGTCCTGGAACACACCAGTGCTCTTTGCCTGCGGTCGCTCCTCTGTAGGCTGTAAAAAGAAAAATATACAGTCACACATATGTTAACACTGACTGCGGGAGAAAATCAATTCTTCAAACTATACTTTATCTACTGTTTTACTGTAGCCCATACAAACCTTTAGTGTGTTTCTGCTTGTAGGTTTACTGGGTGTGAATATTGGATCATTCCAATCTGATTCATCTTCCTCCTCATCTTCAAACAGACTAACAGTTTTTGTTTTAACTTTCTCTTCCTTCTTCTCCTCCTTCTTAACATTTGGCTGTGGGCTGTCCTTAGAGAGGAAGCTGTCATCATTGTCATCTTCATTCAACGGGTTCTTTGTCTGCTTGTTGTCGAGAACGTTAATGCCTCCAAAGAGACTGACGGCTCCAGCAGGCTTCTTTTTACTCTCACTATTCTCTGGCAACACTGATGGGGAAAGTGGTTCAGGGGTCTTTGCAGCTGGCTTCTCCGGCTGTGAAAGCTTGTCCTCTGCTCCTGTTTTAGAGACTGTAACCTCCTCTGATTTCTGTGATTGGGAGGATGACTGAGAGACTACAGCAGATGTCTGAAGAATAGAAGAAATAAAATAATTTA